CGTTAACAATATAACCTGCCGCTAAATTCAGAAGTTTGAGTTTCCAGAATATCATGAAAGTTTTGTATTTTCGATAAAAGTGGAAAGCTTTAGCAGATATTTAGTTTTAGACATAATTCATTTTTTATTTTTAACAGTTTGTCGTTTTGGCAATAACAAATTTTACATCGAGTCTGTCATTTTCGGTAAACACTGACGTGTAAAGGTAAAGTTTATTTCTGCGTTAGAAAAATCAAAAATGTATTACAGCTTCTCATAATAGTTGTTTACAAAAGCTTACAGAATTTCTGGTTTATTATTTCAGATGAATAACACTTACTAACTTTTTTCCGGAGTAATTGTTTTGTTAAATTATTAGCGACCTAATTCTCCCATGAGCACGGCAGCAAACTTTGAAGTAATTTTAGTTCCCATGGTAATTGTCGTTAGTCCGGATGCGATGTTTTTTGTAAAACTAGTAGAGTTATGTGAAAGGACAAGTTCGGTGATGAGATGTTAAATAGTTTTACGAATGTTCTTTAGCGCAGATTGCATCCATTCTCAGTCTGTTGTGATTCAAATGTTCCCCAGCTAATGCACGTGTCTCACATAAAGTAGTACCCTTTACTTATAAGTACGTTTCTTTGTAGCTATCAAAAACAATAGTAACAAAACGCTAAGTTGTAGTATTTGATTTATAATAACTCCAAAAAGATTAAAGATAGAATTTAAAATAGAATTTAATATCAAATAAACTATTGAAATTGGAAAAAAAATGTATCGTATTATTCAAGGAAGATGTTCCAGGTCTAGAAATAATAAAGTACTGAACAGATGTGCTGTAACTCTGGGTAGTTTAAGCCTAGATGGCATTACTTGTATGTAAATATTATGTAGGTATATAAGTCCCTATCTTGCTTTTACCGTTTCTCCTGAAGATGGTGTCATAGATACCGAAACATTTGTAGAGTCTGTTTTGGGACAGTCCACTTTTTCTAAATAACTATTCATTGTGTAAGAGTTTAACGGTGCATTCCTTTTAATTGTAAATAAAGAATGTTGGTTTCAGTTATTTGTTGTGAGCAAATGTTTTGTTTATTTTTTGTTGATTAACGTATTCCTTGGCTAACCACACTTATTCTCAATGTAATTATTTACCGTAATAAATTATTCATTTTGTTTGATGCTATTTCTCTGGATATTGACAACCAAACTATCCAGATATCCTTAGTTGGTTGTTTTATAACTTGGTTTTTATATCGCTATTCATGTACGATAAAATCAATAAAGGTGTAAGTTATGTAATGTTTCTACTTCGCTGGTGTTTTTGATATGTTATCATACACCGTTGAATCACTTTATGTAGCTTTAGGCCACTTCAAGTAAACACTGAGCAAGAGAGAAATGATAGTATGGAGATAAGAATAACTAACTCAACTATAGATGGCAGTGCTATCTGTACTGAAATTACATCACCTCTGGTAATTGAAGAATGGAGTCCTAATACATCAAATACCACTCCCATCAAGTTTGACGTCTTCTTTCCAGGAATGAACTTTCTAAGTAGTAAGTTTTCTTAATGGCTACAATTTGCTATTTTAACATTTCCTCACAGCTGTAAGTAATGCATCACATTTTATTAAAACGACTTGGATCTTACATGCTTCATTTTGCGTTCAACTTCTGTAAAATGTAATCGCGTACAATATATAATTATTTATTTTTCATGAACACAAACTTATGGCTACTTTTTAGAAGTTACTTTTTTTGAAATTCAGTTAACTTTTACCTTTATCTTCTGTGAGATACAACATAATTTCTTCCAATGATTATTAGTGTGTATGCATGCTATGTATTCTTGACATTCCACTTGTAAGATATAATTAGTGAACTGTAATGACCTATTTTCAGTTAGCATGAAATCGTCAAAATTACAATGTGAATTGATGTGGAGAGTGCAGGTGACTATGAAACCGCCAGAGTGCCGTTTGGCGCCTACCGAAACAATTTGCTCGGGTAAAGGAACCTGTGTAGCTGATTCAGAGAAGGTATGATTCGATGCATTAATTCTATGTATCAAGTTGATTGTTATGGTTTCAGCTACTTACACATACATAATGTTACACGATATTGATTGATATGTTTACTTTTTAAGTGTATTTGTTGTTCTTTATGGCTCTTTGGTAACAAATGAACTAAATGTAAATCAGTAATATTATCCAACCAAACGAGGTATCACTATCAGTGAACATATTAGGTTTATTGGATATTCAAAACCAAAAAACAGGAATTGATGTTTCTAAAGATCTAACACTTTCATGATTTTGAGATAATTTAAATTTTACATCTAGAACTTTTCAAAGGTTTAATAAATATGCTGTTATCCTTATGCTAGTATTTTCTAGTGTAACTTAAAAGGCTAATAGATTGAATGGCTACTTTAAGCCTATTAAGCCAGTAAACTATAGACGTTTTCCTTGAACTTTAGCGGTTTCAAGATACGCTACTCGAAAACTAGAAACATTCTTCTATTCTAAATGCTCTAGAATAAGATTACAATGGATGTTTCCTCTTCAACAATATCGAAGTCATGTATTCAAGAGATACAACGAACCTAGCATGAATTTTGACAACTCTTCTTCTTCCATTTTATGTTGTAATAACGCCAGCTGGAGGTATCAACTTAACTAGAAATCAACAGGGTTCGGTATTCGCAGGCAAGCAGTCTTGATCAAGAATGTGAAGGGAATTTCTTTATTGATATATTACCAATACCAGACATGTTTGTAACATCAATGAATACTGTAAAAATGTATCGATAAATAGTTGCAGAGCCTCATATAATGTTATCACATCCTGCATACCATACAAATATTTAACATTTTTACTCGTGTCATTTTACCATGAGTAAAACAAAAAACATCGAAATAAATCTGTGAAGTTTGCCTATAAAGTTTGAATTCTCGCATTTGAATTCAAACTTCATGAAATGCCAAAACAATTTTTTGGTCACATATTATTCAAGCAAGATATCTAATAATCTGGGTCAGTGTAAAACAATTAGTCTTTAGTTTCGAAAGATCAAACAATGTTTTAAAAGTTTCATTTTTCTTCTTCGTTTGAAAGATATATATTGTAAAATATATTGAGTTTTATGGAATTTTAAGGTTTCAGTTATAACAATTTATTCACACCAACGTATAGAAATATAGCAATATAATTCCAAACCAAATTCAAGAGAGCCTTAGAAATCGATTAAATTAAAGGACATCTTCACAGAAATAAAATCTATTCCTCACGTGAAGCACAGACTTTTTACTGCTTAATGTTATATTTCTTGAATTTAATGAGTGTTAATTTCGTGAATTTCGGGTTACTACTAACTTTACTATATAACAGTAGATGATCTTGGTTTTCTAAACACCCCTTTCCAAATTATAAGTATTTGTTTAACTTCACCTCTTATATACATGTACATTTTCAAACGTTCAATATACATATTTCCTTTTCGTGTGAAAATCTTTATTTTTACTTTCACTCTAAACTTCACAGAAAGCTATTTGTGCATAGGATAGTAATAGACAGACAGATAGAGAGAGGGATGGGAGGAATAATCTCTTCAGAGACACAATTTGTTATTAACTGAGGGCGGTGGATGTTTTTATTTCGTTGTTTAATCCACACACACGCTGGCGATCTCGCGTAAAATCAGTTCCCCTTTTCGTCTCCGAATAGACAATTCATATATAAAGCAGAACTGTCCGCCTCTCTGGACTTTTGACGTCACAAATTGTCGTAAGGAACTGGCTGAACCAATTTCGGTTAAAGTTGTTAGAGAAACTTAAGTGGAGCCTCCACAGATAGAACTCAAATGAATGATTCGAGTTTGGCAGCTATTTCAATTATACCGTCTTAATTCCGTGAATGGTAGCTGAACTGAGCAAAGAAATCGGCAGCAAAATAAGTGAAGCCGACGCCAAATGAAAGAGACGTATAATGCCGTGCGTAACACGTATCCCTTAGTAGCGGATGAACGGTTCGTGTCCTCCTCTCAAAATACTAGGAGCAGACGGCCCATGCCCTCATATATAACATTATCTTTAAACTACGGTATTTCTGGTTACTTCTGCTAGTGTTGAATTAAACAAAAGTTGTATGTTTTGTTTGCATTCAATTATTTTTAGGCTCTTATATAATACTATATAATATAAAACTAAATTTATCAATAAATATTTCTACACCGTTTTACATGAAATGTTCGTATTATAATTATTTGAAGACTGTGTATAATAAGTACCATAAGTATCTAAAATATTACATTTTTCTAGAAGTCTTGAATATACGAAAATTCGAAACATCACATCATTTATAGTTTTTTCAACATTGTGTAGAATACAAGTTTATATTTTTCGGATCTTCTTCCACGCTTAATGTTCTTAGAATAACGCTACACATTTTCTACTAAAACACGCTGTATATAACGTTCTGTTTTTGTTTTTTTTATTTGTGAAGAATGAAATTAATGATCGAAAATTCAGTTCAAAGGGATATATGATTATTTTTATGTTTTTCAGAATATTTTTACTTGTCAGTGTTGCCAAGGTTATATTGGTCGTTATTGTGAAGAACGAGATGGTTGCTATGGTAACCCTTGCAACCATGGTGGATTCTGTGTTGATATTACTGAAGGGCTTGTTGATACTACCTTCCAGTGTCTTTGTCCTCATGGTAAGTTATGCGAACGATCTCTTATTCCCATGGTAGAAACTATACATAAACATGAATACATTATCGATCTTTTCGTCTGTCAAACGCAGGTTCAAAATGAATAAGGTTAGAGAAATCTATCAACTATAATTTCTTTATTTTTAGTTTGTCTGAGCTACATGTTAGGATTATTTATTTCAAATGTGTTATACCCGAGTTATTTGTGTTGCTAATGCTTCATTGCTAGAGATTTGATGATTACGATTTGCTTCAAATATTTTGAACTAAATGAAACATTGATTTTTAACAAAAAAAATAACTTTTTATACAAGAACCAAAACGTTAGTACTTCGTTAAGTTTATACTCGTAATTTTAAAACGAATTCAAATTTTTTGACATTAACATTTTCTTGAGTTCACCTTAATTTAAAAATGTCTTTCAGAAGAATTTCTAGCATGGTTTTGTTTTTTTGTAGTGCATATATTAATAAAATGATGTTGTTTATGTAAACTTTTAACTTTACTTTTTGAATTTGAATGTTGAATCTTTGCAGAAATATATATATAATTATATATATATATATATATACAAGCAAATAATCGTATAAATATCTTTCTAGGTTACGAATATTAAAATTTTACATTTGAATTAATTTCTGAAGTTTCAATTCAGCAATCATGACACCAATAATTACAAAATCATTTCCGTGTAGTTAAAAGTCATTCTAAGACAGATAATTTGTGTTTAAAGCCACTGATAAAATCCCATTTCTAAAATGGTTCACATTAGTACATACAAAATTGTTGATACAAAAATTAACTCTTTATATATTCCTGGTCTTTAAATATTTGTGAGTTTTGGTGATTAGTTTCATCACTTAGAATATAAAAACACTTTGAAGATTTATCTTACAACTCACCCTACCGTCAAACAAGCGTAACCTAGGTCCATCATTTATAATATGTATGATCCCCATTCCTCTATCTTTACTTTCTCTTTTTTAAAAAAGATAACGATAAACAAAACAACTAACCTTCTAATTAGCTTATTCCTTCATTTTTAACAAAGACTCGAAGTAATTTAGTAAGCAATCTTCAGTAATTAAAATATAGGGTTGACTGATTTTATGTTCAAAATATTAGTTAGCGATTTACAATAATTAATGAATGTAAACTACAAATAATAAAAATGAAAAAAATGAAAGTGGAAAACTCTCTTCGGGGGGGGGGGGATTGAGAATGAGCGATTCATCTTTGAAGAAGCACACAGTAACTTCACTAAACAACTCAAATTTTTGGATTCCTGTAAATGTTCTGTAAAAAAAGTTAATATTTCATTCTGACTATTTTACGGACAATGTCTCTTTCTGTCTTTGGAAATTTTTCAGTGTAACATAAATCGTTTCCTGTCCACTTTTTAAACTAACCGGAAAAAATATTAATATAATGAAATGATAACATAACTGAATGGAATATATATATATATATACATTGTAGAAACTGTACTATAACATCTTTTAAAGTATATTCAAAATTAATGACAGATGTCTGAACTCATTTAAAGAGAGATAAATATAAGTAACACAAATCAACTCACAAATAATAATAAAACTGATAGGAATTTCAGCTTTCACTTTGTTAACAATTAACAATGGTAAGTCTTTGGATGATATGAACGTATATATAACGTGATAAGATCCTTTTAGCGGGAACTGAACATTACTCATATTAGAACTAATTAACCCTTACTATTTCTATGTCGCATTCTCGTGAATCATTTCCTCGTGAAGTATTTCTCCACTTTTTTTTTAAACATGATTAATGATACTTTTCAAATCACTGAAACTCAGTTACAACAACATCTATGGCCTGTAGTAGTCATCAAGGATTTACTAACTTTCTTAGGGTTCATTTTTATTTACTCTTCATCAAGCGCTTACTGAGCATGTAAACAGTAAATTGGCTGCGTAGTTTAATACAGTTAACTAGATATATAGTTAAATAGAGTTAACTAGGTATATAGTTCAATACAGTTAA